GGACTTAACCCTAGGTGACTTCAGCGACTCAGGGATTGACTTGCTACCGGGGAATAATCTCGTTGACTTAGAATATGCAGACGATATAGTCCTTCTAGGCGACGACGCTGACGAAATGCAGAGTCTTCTAAACACCTTGAGCTACAATCTACGAATGTTTGACATACGATTCGCTCCCGCCAAATGTAAGATGATGTTACATGACTGGACTACACCGACTCCTAGATTAGAAAGAGGAAGTGAGGTGGTAGAGCACGTTAACCGCTTCACTTATTTGGGAAGTACCATCAGCCAGTGACAACGGGTTGATCTCTGACGAAATCTCAGCACGGATACAGGGGGCTCGTTTCACATATGCCAGTTTACACCGTCTCTGGCGTAGACATGATATCCGACTATCGACCAAAGGGCGGGTCTACTGCTCATCAGTTCGCTCCGTCCTCCTTTATGGTTGTGGGACCTGGCCACTGAGAGTGGAAGACATGAAAAGACTAGCTGTCTTTGATCATAGGTGCCTGCGCTCTATTTCCCGTGTAAAGTGGCATAATAAGGTGAGCAACATTGAGGTTAGGCGTAGAGTTCTAGGTAAACAGGGGAAATCAATCGACGAAGTTGTGAAGTTACAAAGACTGAGATGGTTAGGACATATGTTATGTATGCCAAGTCATCGCCTCCCTCGACGAGCAATGTTAGCGGATATAGGGTCAGGCTAGAAAAAAGCTAGCGGCAGTCAAACAAAAACATGGCACCAGTCAATGAAATCCACAACAGTTGGTCTAAGCCACGTAGGAAGGTGTAGACTGGCTTCCTGGTTGGGGTCCTCGGGACGGTCAAAACCAATGACGGCTGTAGACAATTGGTGACATGGCTCAAAATCGTTCTCAATCGTTGGCGCAGATGCATCTACTCCTTGTGACTTATGATTTCCAATGAAACTGTTTTGTTCTTTGTTATTACTCTTCCTTTGTCTCACACCTCTGTTTACTGTCTCTATTATGCATTTCCTATACTTTCTTCTCTTGCTTTGTGTGCTACATAGACCGAAAGCTGCTACGTTGACGTGGTGGTCGGGCTTGAACACCGCAATGTCCCAATAAGCTTTACTGGCTGAGACTTATGTCTCTTGGGGTCCTACCATGTCAGAAAGGTTAATTGGATAGCAGCTACCCAATCCAATACTATGATACAAACAAACTCACAAATGTCATGCCGGATCGGTCGTGGCCTGGATTAACAACGACCGCGCTTCCTGCTGCCGTGTCACAGGGCAGGAGTGATAAATATGCTACTGAGACACACCAAACAATAAAGAACGAACAAAAACAGGCCGTGTGTGACAGGCCTCAAGCAGTTGTCCCCTGGGCTCTGCGGTCACGCAACCAACTTCCACGGTGTGGGCAGCCGGGAAGTAACAATCGCCCTCACAATCCGACATGCACACGAAACCTCTCTATTACTCACTCATCTTTGTCTTCATATTCATCTCCATTATCTTGCCTTCCCTCCACTGATGCAACTTCTCTACTTGATGGCTCTTCACTCTGTGTCCACTAAAAACGACGGAAGCCAAAAAACCACCACCGACAGCCTCTTAAAGCCACGCCACCAATTTCATATAGGAGCTCTTAATGTTAGGACACTTTGCCAAATAGGACAACAAGCATCACTAGCCAAGACCCTGGCATCACGAGCCATTGATGTATGTTGTGTTTCAGAAACACGCATACAAGACCCAAGTGTGGTTATTCACCTAACCCCACCTGGCCAACAGGATGAATCTGCAAAATTCACCTTGAGGGTGTCAGGAGATGCCACAGCTAGTTCACGAGGATTAGCTGGTGTAGGGATAGCTTTGAGTACTAGGGCAGAAAAGACATTACTTGACTGGATCCCGGTAGATAGCCGAATGTGTGCTGTCCGTCTGAACGGATCAGTAAGAAGGAGAAAGGACTGCACTACTCGCCGATGCCTTTTCGTAATCTCCGCCTACGCCCCCACTGACTGCAGTTCGGATGAAACGAAGGATGAGTTCTACCAAAAGCTGTCTAGTTTGGTGCGAAAGGCTAAACGCTCAGATATAGTCGTTCTAGCTGGTGACTTTAATGCTCAAGTAGGGAAATTGTGTCAATCTGAGAAGGATGTCGGTGGCACCTATGGAGTTCCGTGCCAGCGAACCGACAACGGTGACCGTCTCCTACAGTTCTGCTCAGATAATCATTTGTTTCTTGTAAGCACTAACTTCAAACACAAGGAGAGACACTGTTTGACCTGGCGACCCCCATCATCAAACCAACGCTGGACACAAATAGACCACATAGCAATAAGCTATCGTTGGCGTGGGTCGGTAGGAGATTGTCGCTCCTTCTGGAACACGTGTGTAGATACCGATCACGCACTGGTCCGCGCTCGGGTGTGCTTACGACTGAACGGACGTAGGAAACAGCTGGCGGTAAAACCATCACGTCCCCAGCTCGATCAGGAAACTAAATCCCTATTTGAGGAAGAACTAGCTAAACACATATCTGAGTTCGACAGCTGTGTTCACCCTGAAGAACCCTGGAAGAATATTCAGGCAGCTATAGATACAGCTGTAAAAGCTGTGAATAAGGTAAATCCAAAGATGAGTAAAAACCATTGGATATCGACTGCCTCATCCGAACTGATAGATGCTAGAAGACTTATACCGGCGAGCTCCGAATTCAATGAGGAGCGAAAGCTGCACAAAAGGAAACTTATGAAAAGTCTCCGCAAGGACCGCGAACAGTGGTGGGTGACAAAGGCGAAAGAGATGGAAAAAGCATCAGCGATAGGGAACAATAGGCAACTCTTTAGACTCGTCAGGGAAACGGGGGGAGAAGGCAAATCATAAGCGAGACTATTTCTGAGAAAAATGGCTCCTTAATTAGCTCTCAGGATGGACGCCTTGAACGCTGGAGAGAACACTTTGAGGGACAATTTAACTTGCCTACAGCCACACTGAACCTCCTCGACATCCAGTACACACCCGAATGGGACATAGACACAGGTCCTCCATCCCTAACTGAGGTTACTAAAGCTGTCACTTATCTGAAACAAGGCAAAGCAGTGGGACCTGATGGAATGACTCCAGAGGTATTTAAGTACTGTGGATACAGTTTACTGTCTGAATTAACTGAGGTTCTAGGCAGCGTCTGGGAATCAGAGGAAGTCCCATCGGGTTGGTGTAAGTCACTGATTATTCCCTTATACAAGAAGGGAGACAAGTCTTCCTGTGATAATCACAGAGGGATTAGCTTGACTAATATAGTATCTAAAGTCTTAGGCTCAATAATCATGCGTAGACTGAGTGGTGCTCGGGAAGCACAAACACGAGAGAGCCAGGCAGGCTTTAGACCAGGAAGAGGGTGTATTGATCATATCTTCACCCTTTGACAGATTCTGGAACATAGGCATACTTACCGGCGCCCAACAATCGTCATATTTTTTGACCTAAAGGCGGAATTCGATTCTGTCGACCGGGCGGTTCTCTGGAGATGCTTGGCTGTAAAGGGAATGCCGAGGAAATACACTGCACTGATTAAGGCACTCTACTCGTACTCATACAGCCAGGTGAGGGCTTACGGCGAGTTGTCATCTGAAGTGGTGACGACTAGTGGTGTCCGTCAAGGATGCCCATTATCTCCTTTTCAATTCAACTTCATCATAGATGTGTTAATGGACTTAACCCTAGGTGACTTCAGCGACTCAGGGATTGACTTGCTACCGGGGAATAATCTCGTTGACCTAGAATATGCAGACGATATAGTCCTTCTAGGCGACGACGCTGACGAAATGCAGAGTCTTCTAAACACCTTGAGCTACAATCTACGAATGTTTGACATACGATTCGCTCCCGCCAAATGTAAGATGATGTTACATGACTGGACTACACCGACTCCTAGATTAGAAAGAGGAAGTGAGGTGGTAGAGCACGTTAACCGCTTCACTTATTTGGGAAGTACCATCAGCCAGTGACAACGGGTTGATCTCTGACGAAATCTCAGCACGGATACAGGGGGCTCGTTTCACATATGCCAGTTTACACCGTCTCTGGCGTAGACATGATATCCGACTATCGACCAAAGGGCGGGTCTACTGCTCATCAGTTCGCTCCGTCCTCCTTTATGGTTGTGGGACCTGGCCACTGAGAGTGGAAGACATGAAAAGACTAGCTGTCTTTGATCATAGGTGCCTGCGCTCTATTTCCCGTGTAAAGTGGCATAATAAGGTGAGCAACATTGAGGTTAGGCGTAGAGTTCTAGGTAAACAGGGGAAATCAATCGACGAAGTTGTGAAGTTACAAAGACTGAGATGGTTAGGACATATGTTATGTATGCCAAGTCATCGCCTCCCTCGACGAGCAATGTTAGCGGATATAGGGTCAGGCTAGAAAAAAGCTAGCGGCAGTCAAACAAAAACATGGCACCAGTCAATGAAATCCACAACAGTTGGTCTAAGCCACGTAGGAAGGTGTAGACTGGCTTCCTGGTTGGGGTCCTCGGGACGGTCAAAACCAATGACGGCTGTAGACAATTGGTGACATGGCTCAAAATCGTTCTCAATCGTTGGCGCAGATGCATCTACTCCTTGTGACTTATGATTTCCAATGAAACTGTTTTGTTCTTTGTTATTACTCTTCCTTTGTCTCACACCTCTGTTTACTGTCTCTATTATGCATTTCCTATACTTTCTTCTCTTGCTTTGTGTGCTACATGGAGTGTGGCGACTTGAACTGCTGGGCATCGGTACAACGTTCTATGCCGACTGAATGGAGGATGTGCTCAGATCGTAATTTAAGGGCCTTGTGTTCTATCCTAGGTGGAATCATGGGTCCAGTACTGAAGAGTCTCAATGTAGTAGAAAACAGCTGGTTAGTGCTCACTGGTTTTCAGTGGTTTCTGAGATAGTGTCCGTTCATGAATAAATCTACACTGAAGCCTATGAAATCCCAACCAACCAAATAAATAAATAAAAACATGAAATTGAATCAATTCAAATCAATTAACCGGTACAGAATTACTACATTGTAGACTATGTACGAAAAGATCTTGTAATATTATCTTGTCGCTTTAGCCAAAGTAGGCGAAGCGGAGGGGGGGGAGGTACAATTTAAACTCAGAACTTGCATGAATTAACCATTAATGGAACTGAAACTATTCCAAATAATTCAGCTGACAGGGAAATATGAATTCATAGCTTCAATTATCACATACGCTGAAATCTGTGTACAGCAATTTTCTTCAGGTGAAACCAAACCTTCTATCCATCAAGATAAAATAACAAGCAGCAAAATTCTCCTTCAATTGAAACAGATGGAGATCATTATGGTCATATGAACACGGTGTGTTAAGAGGTGAAATGCGATTAGAATACTATTGTTTGTTCTACACACACACAAAAATAATAACTGAAAGTATAGAGGTATATAGAAAGTAGTTAGAAATATAAGAAAGATACACTAGAAATTTCATTTAAAGAATAACTACATACTCATCAATTCGAGAGAAAAGATGTGCTACACGTTGTGAACGTTTAACCAAATTATCAGTAATAACTGATACATCACGGGAAAATGTTTCTAATCTCGATCCCAAAGATTCGGGTTGAGGTAACAGAGGAATATCTTGAGCAAACTTTGTACTGGTTGCGTTTTGTCTGGAAATTTCAGTGAAGAATGATGAAGCACAAGATTTGGTGGATGGTGAACTTGCTGTAACTTGTTCCCATTTTTGAACAGGTGAGTCCGAATGTCCAGCAGCAAATAAGTTTGATGATGATGTTGATGATAAGGAATCTGAATAGGACGAATCAGTGCTATCAGCGGGAATCGAATCATGATACTGACTGCTACGGGATGATTGAATAGTCGGAAGCCGATGGCTGATAACCCAGTCTAGAGCTTCTCGACCCTGGAAGAAACAAGAACAAGTTTAAGTCAGCACTTTTAACATAACGAAAAGTACGTCCTAAAACCATATGAAAATACCTAAACTGTAAGAAGGGTTTGAGTCAAGAAACAATATGATTAGCTACAGACACATATAAAACTATGTGGTAACGTGAAATACCCAATGCATTTGAATGGCAATTTTTTATATCCCATTTCTAGCTGACTTATCACTATACAACTACACTTAGCGATGAAGCTAATAAGCATTGATTTCAGATTAAGTCAATATCTATGATGCATTTAACAACACACCAATCCATGTATGCACATAATATTCGACCTCACAACGGACATGAAAACTGTTAAACTTGACTATTTTTACACCTTTCATATCAACAAAGAAGAATATTTGTAACTATTATTATTATTGTTTCCTTTAGTTCCTAGAGGAACACAGGGCTTCAGCCGCACGTCTCCATCGCGTTCGGTTCTCTGCTAGAGTTTTCACCTGGCTCCAAGTCTGTCCACATGCTTTCACCTCCTCTTCACACCACCTCCTCCATGTCACCCTCACATTGACGACCAACTCACCTCTTCCCGCTCGGGTTCCACTCGAGCAATGGCTTGTCTAGTGATGTCACTTGATGGTTTCCTTAGAGTATGGCCAATTCATCTCCATTTCTTCCTGCTCATTTGTTGCACAACTGGTTCCTGCTGGGTTGGTTCGCTACCAGAGATCCCTCACTATTGCTGGTCTTTTCTGGCCATCTGGTCTTGAGTATTGAGCGAAGAAAACTGTTAATGAAGGTCTGTAGTTTGTTTGAGGTGCTCTTTATGACGCGCCAAGTCTCTGATCCGTATAGAACGTAGCACTGACTTCACATTGGAGTTAAAACTCCGGATGTTATTTTTGATGCTGAGTGCTGTTGACCCCCACACAGACTTGAGAGTAATGAAAGCTTGTCTTGCTTTCCCGATCTTCGCCTCGATATCCTCGTCAGTTCCGTCAGCCTGTAGTTGAAACGATGCTTCCCAGGTAGGTAAAGGAGGTTGTTTCTTTCATTTATGCTGATTGTTGCTGTTGCTGTAGGCCAGGAATCTTCATCATCTCTGTTTTCTCTACGTCCACTTGAAGTGCAATCTTTGATGCTTTTTCCGTTGACTTGTTGCTTTTCACTTGCATATCATCTTCCAGTTTGTGGGAAATCAGACATATATCACCGTCGAAGTCCAAATCCTCCAAGTACTTTTTGTCGGTCCATTTTATGCCTGTTTCTTCGCTGCCCGCTAAATGTCTATCGCATTATCCAGTCTACCACAATCAGGAAAGTCATTGAAGATAGTAGGCAGCCAGCTTGTCGGAGGATTCCGTGAGTTTCCCGTTGTGGATTACTTGGCGGCATGCAGCATTGTCGTATAACTGTTGGATGAGATGTATGATTGTTGGCAGCACAACTTGGCAGTAGCGACCGACGCGGTAACTACTTGTTACTATTACTACTACTTGGTGAATTTGTTGATGCAAAGTATTAACAGCTAACGTTTTTACAACTAGTCTTTAAGACGTACAATACAATAAGTCAAGTCAGACATATAGTCATAATATAATTCAAAATTCTCAAGGTTCAATAGCATTTAATCCACTGTTTTAGTCATCTTACCTCGTTTGAATATTACTTTACTACTGTTCAACACATCAGTGAAAAATACAGAAGTGTGAGATTAAAGATATGCACTTTTATCAGTTCTTATGTTTATCAAGCCGATACTTTCAAAGTTGCCACAAAACGTCGGCTCAAAAACTTAATTTTCAAGTGTTAGTTTGCAGGGATTTGATTGACTACAGGTTTGATCATCATGAGGGGATATTAATTAGAGAACCACGAGAAAACTAGGGGACGCTGGTCAGCTGTTTCATCCTAATTTGACTAGCTAACTGAAGTCAGCTGGTGATCACACGTTTAAAACATTAAATCCCTGGAAACCAACACTTAAAAATTAATCCGATGCTCATTAGCGATTGGCTGTATGCAGAAATTTACCTGGATTTCCGGTAGGAAGTTGTGACCAGGGGTGTTTACCAAATTAGGTAAGAGGACATATACTCGCCGATGATATTGGCTGGTGGTTTAGTGAAATATATCGCGAATTGACAGAAGATGGAATTCATAAGCTATTCGATAGGGTGCCAGTGGCTGAGTGGATTGCGGACTGGCTTTGCAACCGGAAGGCCATGGGTTCGAATCCAGTGGGTAAGCATTCCTGCAGTCCCAAAATAGGACGAAACAGCTGTCTAGAACCTTCTGGTTTTCCGATGGTTCTCTAACTGATGTCAGCTAGTGATGAAAAAATTTAAAACTTCTCAAATATAGCACCCACTGATACTGCCGCAGTATATTACAAGAATTCTAAAAGTTTAATAGGAGCTCACAGTTAAGTCTGCTTATAATTTTCAGTGTGAAGGAAGAATCTCCTAGATTCAACCGTAAATGCACAAGAGCTATTACCCAACTTTGGTGACGCTAGTATCCTGAAATCACTTTATTTATCCTTCACAATATGCATAACTGGAAACTTATTGGAAACAGTTTAAACCCAGACCGGTTGATCTACATGGGTTGCAGCCAACGAAACAAAACACGATTCATTCTCGGTACTCTTCGTGTATAAGAGAATTCGTCTCGGTATGTTAAACACGAGCAAACGATACAGCAAACCGGCTGAAATAATACTTCAAATTTAGCGAAAAATAAAACATCTTTAGAATTCAATGATCAAACATAATTTTGGTATACCTGATATGCAGTTTGTTTGCACATACTTATTGCTGACATCGCAATAAGGGAAAATGCTTCCACTGAAATTGAGTGTTCCAATACAGTCCTAGAAAGTAAATAAAGTTGCAATAGACAGTTAGAGAAAAGTTATTATCATAAAAAACAGAATCAGAAATTAATTAAGGTACTATAAGGCACGATTTTCTCTACCACTTCATCACAGAAGAAAATATAATTACCAGTATATTAATGAAATTATGTGGTAAAGAATAGGCACATCCACGTAAAATGAGACAATGGGTTCATATCTCCATCAGTTCAACCAAATTATTAAGGGTAAAGACAAATTTTGCAGACTAAACACTCAATAAGGTGTAGATATTTTATTGGACATTTATTTCACCAATAGCATGCTCTTGATGTCAGCATACATACACTCTCGTGGAGATATAATATAGCTCACTGGTTTAAGCATTTGAATGCTAGCTGTTGGGTTCCGAGTTCCAATCCTACTTCACCTACCTCACCCTGGAAAACTGGGTAGTATCATTAGTTCACACACAGTGTGGCTCATGTAGTCTGGTACATGTGAAAATCTGTTGCAGATAACTGAGATAATCAAATAGTTTCAGTTTTAAAAATATGCTAGTACATGTCAAAATAAAAACGCAGGTTATTTTTGAAATGTGGTACAGGCAGCCAATTTTGCCAAGATGTTAGTTAGTAATGCCGTATATTACATGAATTCCCGTTTTTATATTCAATAACGTATAAAAGCTTAACGCTACCAGGGGTGCATGCAAGTGTGACATGTTACAGTACACCATTTAGTCCCCGGATAACGCAGTAATAAACGGAGTTGAAAACCGTAGTCCTAACTGGTGACCGTGTCAAAAAATACTTTGGGAGAATAGTAACGAATGAGTATTAATTAACTAATATTCCTCATATTACTCTAAAGAAGCCTGTAGCTACTAGTTTATTTGACCGTTTTAATAGTAAGCTATTCAGAAGTATGCCCAAATGTGCCGTAGCACAAAATGTACAAATAACGATCCACTTTCACCTTGAACACAAACCATAGCCATATAAAAGGTCACGACGGAAAAAGAAATGATTTAAGCATTAATCTGTAGAGATCCCAGTTATTAGACTGAAGATAGGATACCGTAAAGTTTAGAACTAAATACTACACATCACAAAAACTGTTTGCATACTGTGCCAAAGTTAGCATTCCTCGATTAGACATCAGACCTTTAGATCCAATGGAATACCTACCTCCTTTGTAGTGGGAACGGATAAATGCAAAAAAAGCGAAAAACCTATCAGATTATTTCAACAAGTTCTTAATTCATATTAACATACATATATAAAATACTACTCCTTAAATGGATAATGAAGTGGAGTTAATGTTTTCTAACCTGGTGGGTTACGGGGGAAAAACAGAACCACACTTCTCTATGTGGCTCAGATTGAGTCAATTACTTTATGGTTCACCCTAGCCATTTCAATCGATGGAAGCACGCCACTGTTTTCTTCATTTTTGAAAAGGGGAAAAGACTTATGCCGAAAAATCACCCCATTAGTTGAAACTGTATCGTCTTTGGAGTTTAAAGGGAAAAATAAAGGACGAATGGCTGAGTTCCATGATACATAGTTTTTTAATAGAAGTGAAATCCAAATTTAGGCTTATATTCCTGAATCAGACGCATTCAATCTAATCAGCTTTGGTGGAGGTTGAGGATACTTAAGTGCCTTCCGATTTATCAGTGATAAATTTCAGCAAAGAATTTAATTTGGTCGCTACAGAGGCTACCACGCTAGAATGGTCTGGAAAATAATTGCACGGTGGTAATGAATTGAGTGACCTCTAATTAGGGAAAAAAGGTAACTCTCCTCATGAGAACTACGCTGGAAACTGTTGTCTCTGGTTCACATTAAAAACAACTGTGGATTCCCAAATTAACTTTCTCGCTAGTTCCAAATAATTTCAGGGTTGTAAGGCAACAAACAGATAAACTGACATTATCTAAGCCTAGGGATGGTAAAACGAATTCAAGCAAAAGCTCAGTAGTATGCATAAGGTATTGCCATTCAGCTTCTTATTCAATATATCTGCATTATATCGTACTAAGGAACAAGAGAAACCGATTCGTTGCCCACAACTTGAATATAAAACACTACTATGTAGTTTCAACAACTGAATTACCGAGTGTGGTTTTTTCTCCGAAATTCCAAGTAACTTGATGAATACATGCCTAAGAAATAATAACAATTTTCTAACACCTTTAGAACACAATATACTCATATTTCTTGAAAAATGGCGTGAATTGAGATGAATTGTTAGAGGTGATGGCATATTATAACACGCATTTAAAGATGAAATAAACGATAATGACAAATTAGCACGGGCTACATGCTATTGTCATGAACTCTTAAGACCACCTCCACTTTTTTCCACCAATTCATAGTTATATTAATGTAGTGGAATATTGAAACATATAAGAAGCAATCATCATTACTACAAAAACGACATACCAGTCTTTATTTTCTGGGTGTACAGTATACTCTATTTGTTCTAAACCATCGAGGACACCCTGAAGATCGATGTTTATGGTTTTAGATATCATCCGTTTCTCTGGAACATGGACACAGCTGTATTCCAAGGCTCTGAGGTGACCCATGTGAAACATTGGCCATGAGGAGTTGATCAATTTGCAGCTGTGCATTATGCCGCTTGACGGATCTACGTACCGATTAAGAACATCTATATTTAACACATTCGGGTTATAGGGATTAGGATATTTAAATTGTACAGAACTGACAACATCGTGCCAGGGATGCCTACAAAAGGGGAGACAGATCGTATGAATGTAAAGCGAGAAGCATACTTGATAACAAACTTTTCAGACCAGCGGCGAGTGGATGACAGCATCACTTTTATTAATCTGTGGTTGAGATTTAAGGCCAAAAACGTTTGAGAAACCCTTAGACACTGTAAGCAAGTAACATTGAAACTCCGTTTTATGTTAACCACTTTCAAACAAACAATTATGAACCAACAGTGACAGGTACCTGAAGATACGACGTTAGAAATCCACCGAAAATTAATAACAACACGTGAAGCGGTGTAATTATAAACAGCGCGCTGACGCTGCTCAGGGTCTCTTAGATGTAAATTTCAAACCTCAATAAAGAGAGTGATGTCGTTTAAATAAAACTTATGAGGATAAACCAACGCAACAAATGATAGCGTAATCTCATTCAGCACGAACAAACTTTTTTGCTCTACTGATATTCAAAAGAAGAATATGTCTATGATCTATTCTTTAGTGTTCTGTATGAAGACTAGAGCTACCGCCACATCTTTAAATTAAAAGAATTACTTCATTATACTTACTTAGTCTGCATATTTCACCCATTCCCTGCCAAAGTTTTCTCTGTGTTTGCGCTTAAAATTCCTTACGAATCAAATACTGGTACACATGTTATTCCCTAAGTGATATGTGTGGGTTTAAATAACTGAGTGGTTTCGAAAACTGGGAGGAGTATGTATTAACGTCCTAAAGGCCCATATTAATTTACCCAACCAGCGTTCTCCCGAAGAATTGTCGTGTAAATGGATATTAATTCACCTATTATAAACTTTGTATGAACATAGACAAAACGGAGGTTATGAAAATAGCCAACCAACAAAAACAACAGCAACATCCAGCGCCAATCACCATCAACGGGAGGGATTTGAAAGAGGTTACTTCATTTACTTATCCAGGGAGCATTGTCTCAACTACAGCCAGTCGGAACGGACGACGATGTCAAATCGAGCGAGAAGCGGGAAGGCGAAATACATATTCATCAACCTGAAATCAATCTGGAAATCTTCGTCACTCAGCCAGAATCAACAAAATGCAGTCAGGTTTTCAATACAAACGTCAAGTCAGTTCTTCTATACAGATCAGAAACTTGGCGGGTGGGTCACAAAGAATATTTCCAACAGCCTGTGGCAGACCTTTATCAACAACTGTCTTCGCTGGATCTATACTGAAGATCAGATAGCCAGACAGAATCACCAACAAGAAACTATGGGAACAAACAAACAAAACAAGAACCAATCGCCAACCAACAAATATGCAGGAGAAAGTGAAGATGGATTGGACACTCGCTCGCTGAGAAGGCCGGTTGGTGACATCGCGCGTCAGGCCATTACTCGAGTGGAACCAGGCCGAAAAGGAAGTGGCGAGTGGGACGTCAGTGCAAGGTTGACATGGAGGAGATCGTGTGAAGGGGGGTTGAAAGAGTATGGACTAAGATGGATGCAGGTGAAAAGTACAGCAGAAGGAAGACAGAAGCAAGTAGAGACGTTCCACTAGGAACCCAAGGGAGCAATAACAATAATAAACTTTGTATTGATTTGCGGTGTAGCAGTAAATATTTCCCCAAAATTAGTAGCCATCAACCATCATTATTCAACACTGACTGCCGACCCTCGTTGTTTGAGTCTACTATTTGAGCTGAAGACAAACGGTAAAGTACCCATCCAATTCGGCACGTTGTCATTTTAGCCCGGTTGTTCATGCACATACCATAGCTAGTTAAGCAAACACCATCGCTCTGTATATCGTATCCCGTGAATATGCTTCGCAATCTGGACAGGTAGTTTTTTGCCCTGATTTGACTCTGTTCTAACTGGCGCAAATGGTTTAAGAAGGTATGCAATTAGGTTTTCATGTAGGGCGTTCCTCATACTCGAAATCGTTTACCTCCAAAGAGTACATTGAGAAGCACGAAGTGATCATGGCAATTCACATGAATATGAAATGTGAACATGAAAACGGTACTAGGTGTAACGAAATAGAGGTTGACAATACTATGTACGACGAATTCATAGAGTAATCATCCAGATACGTCAAGCGTAACAACCGACTTTTATTGCACACATGTCACTATTTTTGAAGGCAGTAGAAAAACACTTAGTCTTCACCCTTCATTGAAGGCTTTTAATTACCTAAAACAGTGTTCTGGCAAACATGATGGATGTGCCTTGTGTGCTACCGCTCCCTTTCATCATAACATTGTTTACGGTCGAGACAGATGTAATTAATGTATTCAGTGTGTCTGACTGGATCTCCCTCTAATCCGGTACTCTGGCCTCCCTTGTTTAACGACCCCGCCGTAATACTTACAGGGTGCTGGGTTGATAGTGATTTAACTTTTACTTTTCTGATAGGGAGCAGCACGCTATCTATAAGGGAAAGTTTTCCCCTGATATGCTTACAGTGACTGATGTCCCTTATTCTGCCATTCTTTTTCTGTTTCCCTTGTTCTGGAAGAGCCAGTTGTGACTCTTCTGATGCTTTCCTTTCCTCGTTACTATTACACTGTTGTTCTCATCTTCTGTTGCACATCAATTTTATATTTCATATCCTGTGGTGCATTGTTTGAAATGTAAACTATACACTGTTTTTTAATTTTTATTTATCTTTTATTTTTTTGGCGTTGGATTTATCTATTTATTTTTCGATTTTAAAAATTTTATATAATTTATGAGGTAATTAGAAACAATATACTGTAATGCACGCTGAAAATTCCATACCTGTACCAAAAATACCGTTTGGAATAAAGCTGTTATTATTATTACCACTATCCAGTGGAACTATTCTAAAAAGAGACATATCAGTCATCAATTAACTAGTGGTGACAAGCCAAATTCCTTGAAATATAAGGCTCCTATTCCTGTGGAGGTAGACAGTCGCCCAGAATTATTAACCACAGTATATCTCAACGTAGTTGAAGAATGAACGATCAATTCATGGTTGTTTGCTCAAAACCAACTTCCCCAATTTTCGCGGAAGCATCAATACACCAGTCATCGTCTCATCGGTCGCTGTTCAGAAAGAAGTCAAACCAAAACTGTCAGAAGTAATATTGTGATTTATTATTGTAATATTTGTTCATAGACCTTAGTTGTAAAGCTTAGTTGTACATTGGCTATATGTTGGTGTTAGAATAAATAATTCTCGAGTCGCCAAACTGGGTTCTGGTTTTTGCGTCCGTTCGTACTAAGTGTTTCTGAGAAGCTTTGAGGAACAGCGTGAGTCCCAGCGTAGCGAAAGCTGGGCATTAACGGTTTACGAGACCTGGCTGACAGTTTCTGACGGTACGGCGTCAGTTTCTGGCGGATTCAGACAGTTGGTGACAGTTTGGATAGTCACCGTTCATCTTTCCTGGCGCCGGCCAAGTCTTCTTTGAACAAGCAATATCTGGAACGTTTTTGGAATTGGGTCAAGTTCAACAATACCTGGGCCAAAGAAGGGACAGAGCGTCTTGGATGCAAACAGGAAAGTAAGTCATGGTGACTTGTCTGTTACTTGTAACGATGTGTCTGATGTTAAACATGACATGGTTGATGTTACTGTTTCGCCGTCCAGGGGTAATAGGAACATCAAACTTCCTAAATTTGAACCACGGTGTTTCAACGGAAGCCCGGCTGATTATTTACAATTTGTAAAGGAGTTTGAGATCATGTTGAGTAGTTTTTTATTAAGTGATGAATTGAAATTGATGTATTTGAAGATGTACTGCACTGGAGTTGCTTCAAGAGCTATACAGTGCTGTGAAGCTCATGCCCCCTAATGAGGGATACGCTGAGGCTATGAGCATATTACGTCAAAGGTTTGGAAGACCTTCAATGATTGTAAGGAACGTATTCGAAGCTGTCAAAGGTAACGGCAGCCAACTACAAGATGACTCCAAGGTACTTACTGAGTTTTTGGATAATCTGACGACTTACAAGAATGAATTGATTTCTATGAATTGCATGAGTGACCTCAACTCCAGCTCAGTCCTAGAGGTAATTGCGAGACGCCTACCTACTCGAATGCAAAGGAAGTGGGTGAAGATAAGCTCCCGTATGGAGGATGAGGGTATCGAGCCAAAGTTAGGCGATATTCTGAAAGCGTCTCAGAGAGGTGGATATCGAGAAAGCTCTATGGTTTCTAGTAATGAATATTGACCTAGTGAGTGTAACAGGTTTCGTAGAACATCCTCAACAGATAAGTTACAAGATGCAAGACAAACACGGTTGTGTTGTACTCGTTTGCAAGAGGTGCATACAAAGGTGAGCTGTGAACTAGTAAGCAAGTTCAGTGATAAGCTAAATGTAAACTCCGGGCCTGACTCCGAATTGTGTGACGATAACGGTGCTGTGAAGAAGTCTGTAGTTGCAACTGGTAAGCCATTGTTGAATAGAGTGTCACAGAATAGAGTTACTGCTTCAGAGTGCAGTTCTGACTCCATAAGTTTACAAGGTATTACTAGTCAGAGTGAAGGTATAACATCTTTAGGGGTTTGTGAGGAGGAACCAAAATTGTCTACTTCTGTTATTAAAGAGTTTGAAAATGATGAAATTGACGGTAAAGTGAATATTCGTGATAATGATCATGATACTTCACAGTTGTCTTTGGTTGATCATGATGAGATGAGGGGAATGCCTACTACTGCTAAGTTGAACAAAGGTTCTGTACAACTTGAACGTGATGTAGAATTGAATGCAGATGCAGTTGCAGAAGGTAGGGATACTTGTGAGACCGTCAGTGTAACTCATCAGCGTGTAGCCCTGTGGAGTCCTAAAAAATAAACTTATCCAAATTTTACTACTATGTAAATAATGAATATATCGTACACTACTTTGCTTTAACCATAAACTCTGTACTTTGGACTCTACCTCGGGTTTTGAATAAATATATAGTTCTGCCTTCGACTCTCCGTCTTCTCCACCATCTCAACTGCCGTCGATCAATTTTAATCACCTGCTTTCTATCTCAAATTTTTGCAGGAGCACCGTAGTTCTTCCTACGTACTTTGGTCGACCTCCGGCAACGTCAACATTGGAGAATTAGTACTGGAGCAGTCTTCCCGCAGCACCTGGAGTCTATAACGTTTATTGTGGACTTTGGATCTTTGTAAACCCAAGTAACCAAACTTTAATACATTCTTCCCGTAACTAAACTTATTTGGTACTTTATTTTCTGTTTGAATTTGGGTAACTAAGCTAACAGAGTAAAAGGTCCACCACAGCCCACCTGTCATCAGATGCAAATGCTAAACCCGAACTAATAGTAAAAAACAGCAGTGGTGGTAGTCGTGCAGTTAGACAACCTTCTAAAAGCCGAAAGAGAACAGCTTCTGGTCCACCGCTAAGTTCATCAACTGGTATCAATCAATCGTCGTTGGTGTTGTCATCCACAATGAAAAAGACGCCCATCAACTCAAGTATCTTGTGCAATGACTATGATAGTATTGATGCATTGGAAATGACGAAAGATATTGGTCAGTTTAG